CTAAAAAACCCAGGATCTGTGGGATGGAGCCAGACTGGGTCCACTGCCCTCCTTGTCTGCCTGTTCTGTGCACACCTGCTCTATTTTGGGGCCATTTTGGGGGCTTCATTCCTGTTCCACTACAACCTGGCAGGACCATTGGCGTCCCCAGAGATGTTCCATATCCCAGCCATGTGTGTCCCCTCCACAGCAAGGTGATGTGCTTCCACCCTTGGTCGGACCTGACGCTGCCCCTCATGTCCCTGGCAGAGATCCGGGCTGTCATCGACGCGTGGGCAGAGCTGGAGACTGAGCTGGGTGCCTCCTACCCATGGGTGCAGGTCCGGGGCTGGTGGGGACTGTCTTTCTCTCCCTGGCCAGATGGGCTTGGGTAGAGGTGGGGTGCCAGGGCTCAGTGCTCTTCCAGCACTTGGGGTTGGCACCATCCCAGTCGCTTGTGGGTCCCCTGTCCCTACCTCGTGCTCCCCCAAGCCTTTGCAGCTGGGTGTGAGGCTCCACTCTCCTGTGGGATGCTTTCCTGGTGTGCTGGTGACACCACGACAGCCTGCAGCAGGGTCCCTGGGGCTGGGACCAGCTAGCTGCACCTCTTCTTCCCCAGATCTTCGAGAACCAGGGAGCGCTGATGGCGCGGCCGGGTGAGGCTTCCTTAGCCGTGACCTGGCTTACTGCGAGTCCCTGTGGGTGACCCTACAACGAACTCGGGGGAGACGTGAATGGCAATCCCCCTGCCCTGATCACAAAGCTTTTTGCAGCGAGGATACCCCCATACCTGTCCCGTCACCTCCCCTCCTTGGGGGCTGTCCCTTGTGGCTGCCACATGTCCAACTCTCCACCTGGTGGCAGCACGGACCTGCAGCTGGGTAACCTGGGCAATGTGGGGTACAAGTAGCTCAGCCCCGTGCCCCAACGTCCCTCCCAGGTGTGGGCAAGCAGCTTCCTCCCGAACGAGGCACGCCAGGAGGACCGGACCCAGCGGCAGCACCTCAGCCAGCACGGTGTGCCTATGCTGCTGGAGTACGCCGAACAGGAGGCTCGCCGAAAGGTGAGGGCATGGCTCTTGTCCGTACCCCCTCCCTGGGAGCTGGGAATGTGCTGGCATGGGCCCCTCGGCCCCCCAGAGCAGCATCCCTGGGAGCACCCA